ATTGGTCTCAACTAGGGCCAGGGCCTTTTCAGTACTGGCCCCGACTTGGTGGAACGCTCTGCCACAAGAGACCAGGGCCCTGCGGGACTTGACATCTTTCCGCAGGGCCTGCAAGACTGAGCTGTTCCGCCTGGCCTTCGGTTTGGACTCAGTCTGACCCTTATGTTTCCCTCCCCTTGTGGTCTTGATTTATCAGCTACTTTAAAATGAGGCTGCATTTAAATTGCATTTTAACCTGTACAGTGGTACCTCAGGTTACATACGCTTCAGGTTACAGACTCCGCTAACCCAGAAATAGTACCTCGGGTTAAGAACTTTGCTTCAGGATGAGAACAGAAATCGTGCTCCGGCGGCGCAGCAGCAGCGGGAGGCCCCATTAGCTAAAGTGGTGCTTCAGGTTAAGAACAGTTTCAGGTTAAGTACGGACCTCCGAAACAAATTAAGTACTTAACACGAGGTACCACTGTATTTTAAATTGGGGTTTTTTTTTTCCTCCCCCCCCTTCCCCCTATTATGTTTTTACTGTGGTTTTATTGGTGTTAGCAGCCCTGAGCCCAGCTCTGGCCAGGGAGGGCGGGATATAAATATTATTATTATTATTATTATTATTATTATTATTACTTGTCATTCCTGCATCCACGGGGTTGGCCCCTGGGGTCCCGTCCAACTCTATAGTTCTATGAGTCTTCGGAGGAAATGCACATAATAATGTATCTATTCACAGAGATAATGTAAAGGGGGAGACTGTTTCACACAAATGTTCCGTTCCTGTTCTGCCCTCTTTCGGGTCCAAAAGGACCCGTGTGGCAGCAATCGCGTGTCAGTTGGTCGTGCCTAAAATTATTGCTGCCTTTCCAAAAATGCATGATTTGTGTTGCTTGCCCAAACGAATTATGTTAGGAAAGATTTATGCACTTTGCAGAATGCAGAACCTTTGGAGAAATGAGAATGTGTACAAATGTGGGAATGTCGTAAAGCAGACTTTAGGGTGGGGAAGGGGGGACACTGCAATTGAGATGTTTGCCCGCCCCTCGTCTCCTCTAAGCTGGCCAACGAAACATCTCTGATCTCCCTCTGTTTACATCAGAGGGCGACAGCGAGGCTGCGGCCTTCGAGGAACGCTGCTGTTTTAGCCTCCTTCTAAGAAAACCCAGCGATTGTCTTAAGGCAAACAAAAACTTGCAGAAGCCATAATCAAAGTCTCAGAGGCGAGCGCTAGACGCTGCACAATTCATAAGGGAAGTAGGCAACAACAGGCATGTATCCAGGCATGTGTGACATTTGGAAAGCCAAGGCTTTTATATTATTCTATTTATCCAAAATAGCTTTAAGACAAGAGCCCTCTCGGGGCAGCTTGCAATTAAAAATCCTTAAAGCAATTGAAAATGAAGTGAAGTGAAGTGAAGCGAAGTAGTGGCAGAAGCATTCCACTTCAATATTTACCATCTGTGTAAAGCTGTTATGCCCTGCTCTTTGGGGCTAAAAAGGGTCCCTGAGCAGCATATGAAGCTCAGTAGTACGATAGTCCTTGCTCTCAGGTTTGGCATCTAAAAGACACACACACAAAAGGAAAATGGAACTGGGAGGGAGGAGGAAAAAGGCAAACTCAGTCACCAGGTCTCAAAGTCGCAAGTATGATCATTATTATTTATTGAATTTGTTAGTCCCTTTATCTTGCCCAGAGAATCCCAAAGCAAATTACAAGCAGCTGGGGTGGAAACAGGCTATGTGATGGGATTACTGCTGCTAAGCAACAACAACAAGAATAATAATAATTTATTATTTATACCCCACCCTTCTGGCTGGGTTTCCCCAGCCACTATTGGGAACTATATGGGTGAGTATGTGTGCATAGACCAGGCATAGGCAAACTTGGCCCTCCAGATGTTTTGGGACTACAACTCCCATCATCCCTAGCTAGCAGGACCAGTGGTCAGGGATGATGGGAATTGTAGTCTCAAAACATCTGGAGGGCCAAGTTTGCCTGTGCTTGGTATACACACACACACACACACACACACACACACACACACAAACACACACCACCAGCAGTTAAAACTACAGCTTACAGGAACTTCGGAAGCTCCTTTATGCTGAGCTATGCTCTGTGCTTGACCAAACCAAGGGTACTGACTTAAATAAAATATTGGGGGGACCCAGGTAATCCCCCCCCCATGTAATCGTTCACAAGATGCAACACACACACGCCATCTGAATGGCAATACCCATCAACTTTGGGTTGGCCTGACCTCTCAAATATTGTATTGGAGGCCCGAAAAGACCTCGTCCCGCAGGAGTTGGCTCCTAGGGCTGGAACTGTCGTGATAATGGCATTGAGATTGCTATGGAGGAAAGCAATTTTGTCCCCAAGGTTGCGGAGCAAAAGAGTCGTGCATTTGCTGGAGTGCTTGTTTATGAACCCTGGGCCGATCTGAAAAGCTCTGTTGAGAGGCACCCACAACCCTTTTTGCACCTCCTTGGGGGTTCCTCTGCCGCTCTGAGATTGTAAAAGCTACCATAATTTGGCTGTTAATTGTAGCTGTTAATAAGCAACCTGGTCTGGGTTACTTCTCAGGTCTTCTGGATCCCCCTGCCTCGGGCAAGTGGGGCTTAATTTTTCCTTCACTATACTGGTGTTTTGTTTCATCTCTTGCAAAAACTCTGGCTCTGGGAGATTTGCCCTGTAAACATCAGCATGGTGGCTGAAAGCATCGTAGCAGAAACCAGAAACGTGGCCGTTCCCGGTCTTAGCAGCACCCTTTGTTCCGCAGGGAAATTGGGGAAAATGTTTGCTGAATATGTGAGCCGTCCGTGACAGGAACGAAAAAAGAGTGGCATTTTTTTTCTCTTCAAATAATCTTTATTAGTTTTTCAATTAGATACTCCACATACACATATTACATTACATTTTACATTTATACTTGCTCTTCAGAGCTGACTTCCCTCCTTCCTTCTTCTGGTTTTTTATATCACATATAATTTATCGCATTATTTTCTTCCATTTTATATATTCTTATTCATTTTCCATCTTTGTCCATAGTGTATCCATAAACAAATAAGTCCTCATGTTTCTACAATTCTTGTTGTCTCTCTGTATTCATTTACCACTACAGTTAGTTATATTAGTTTCCTTACACATTTTGCTTCTTATTATTTTCATTATCCATCACTTTTCTTAATCTTTCCCATTATGAGGTTTGTTTCCAACCTCGCCACTGTTGTTGTTATATATAAAAACAGTTTCTGGTCGTTCTTAACTATATCTTCTCCTACCATTCCTAACAAGAATGCCTCCGGCTTTTTCAAAAACATATATCTAAAGATCTTCTTTAGCTCATTATATATACCATATTTTTCACTCTATAAGACGCACCAGACCACAAGACCATTAGACGCACCTAGTTTTTGGAGGAGGAAAACAAGAAAAAAATATTCTGAATCTCAGAAGCCAGAACAAAAAGAGGGATTGCTGTGCAGTGAAAGCAGCAATCCCTCTTGCTGTTCTGGCTTCTGGGATAGCTGCGCAGCCTGCATTCGCTCCATAAGACGCACACACACTTCCCCTTACTTTTTAGGAGGGGAAAAGTGAGTCTTATAGAGCTAAAAATACGGTATTTTCCCAGTATGTTTTTACCTTACCACATGACCACCACTTGTGAAAGAAATTGCCTTCTTTCACCCCACATTTCCAGCAATTCTTGTTTCCTGTTTTGTACATCCTTAACAGTTTAGTTGGAGTGAGGTACCATCTGTACATCATTTTTAACAGATTTTCTTTTAACAATTGCATCTTTTAGGTTTAGGTTTAAAAGCGTGGCATCTTAAAGAAGAAGAACTAGGATTATTCAGAATTTAATTGGATATAGAAGTATCCACACCAAACAATAAAAACACTATTACAGTGGAACCTCGGTTTTCGAACGTCTCGGCTGCCGAACATTTCGGAAACTGGATGCCGAAAACCTGGAAGTGAATGCTTCCGTTTTCAAACATGCCTTGGAAGTCAAACGGCTTCCAAGTTGTGTTTCTCATTTTTTCGAATGGAATTTGCCTTTGATCCTCGGTTTTCGAACGTTTTAGAAGTCGGAATGGATTACGTCCGAAAACCAAGGTTCCACTGTATATCCCTTTAAACAGTCATGGCTTTCCCCAAAATAATCTTGGGAACTGTAGTTTTGTTGAAGGTGCTGAGAGTTGTCAGGAGGCCCCCATTCCCCTCACAGTGCTACAATTCCCAGAGTTTCCTGGGAAGAGGGACTGGATGTTAAACCATCTGAGAATGATAGCTCTGTGAGGGGAATGGCTGTTTCCTAAGAACTAAAAGCAGGTCGATTTATAATTTTAATAAGATGAATCGTAGAAATGTAGAGCTGGCCCAAGCGGCCAATGATATGAACCTAAAATGCAGCATAGCAATGGATGTGCAACTAATCCTTATCGCTCTAGTGATGGTGGCAGCTCCCAGCAATGCTGTGCAAGGGGCACTATTGTTTAAAGGTAAAGGGACCCCTGACCATTAGGTCCAGTCGTGGCCGACTCTGGGGTTGCAGCGCTCATCTCGCTTTATTGGCCGAGGGAGCCGGCGTACAGCTTCCGGGTCATGTGGCCAGCAGGACTAAGCCGCTTCTGGCGAACCAGAGCAGCGCACGGAAACGCCGTTTACCTTCCCGCTGGAGCGGTACCTATTTATCTACTTGCACTTTTGACGTGCTTTCGAACTGCTAGGTTGGCAGGAGCAGGGACCAAACAACGGGAGCTCACGCCGTCGCGGGGATTCGAACCACCGACCTTCTGATCGGCAAGTCCTAGGCTCTGTGGTTTAACCCACAGCGCCACCCACGTCTTTTAATGTTTAACAGACCCAGTATTTTAATAGTTTGTTGGAAGCGGCCCAGAGTGGCTGGGAAAACCCAGCCAGATGGGTGGGGTATAAATAATAAATTATTATTATTATTATTATTATTATTATTATTATTACCTCCAGCAATACAGGAATCTTTCGTCCAACGTGGGTTTCGAACCCACATACCTGAGACTAAGCATCTCATGCTCTACCAACTGAGCTACCCCAGCAGGATGAGTTTGTGGTGTTGTTTGCTTACGAAAAGGACCGGTGTACCTACCAGCTTTCATTGAAAAGAAATAAAAGGGAACTCCGAGGCAGTTCAGATAGAAGAACGACAAAATAGCAGCGTGAAACCAGTTCAATGAGAAGTTAAAATATCTGTTGCATGCTCAGAAGCACTCTTAAAGGTCAAGGAAATGGTAAGTTTTCAGACACCCAGATTCGGAGTCTGTCTGATCTCCATGTGGAGCCTGTTTTGCTGAGATTCCTGCATGGCAGGGGGTTGGACTAGATGACTCTTCGGGTCCCTTCCAGTTCTCCAATTCTGTCATTCTAATATTCTGCCACAGAGACGTGGGTGGCGCTGTGGGTTAAACCACAGAGCCTAGGACTTGCCGATCAGAAGGTCGGCGGTTCGAATCCCCACGACGGGGTGAGCTCCCGTTGCTCAGTCCCTGCTCCTGCCAACCTAGCAGTTCGAAAGTACAAAATGCAAGTAGATAAATAGGTACCGCTCCGGCAGGTAGGTAAATGGTGTTTCCGTGCGCTGCTCTGGTTTGCCAGAAGCGGCTTAGTCATGCTGGCCACATGACCCGGAAGCTGTACGCCGGGTCCCTCGGCCAATAAAGCGAGATGAGCGCCGCAACCCCAGAGTCTTTAATGTTCTGCCACAGAGATAGCTGTCCTCCTCACTGTGAGATGTGCATCTGCAGCCTTCCGTGCAGTTAGCAGGGCCTCCTGCAGAGATCACAGAGAACGAAACGTGGTCGGGGAAGATTAGCGATTTGACTGGGTGAGGGGAGCATGTTTTGTACTTCTCTGGAGAGATCTGCTCTTCTCCAGATCGGGTCCGTAAGGCTTTTTTGCAAGGAAACAACGCTTCTTGTGAAAGTCACAAAATGGCAGGGCAGGTGGCGTATTACCTGGACAATGCATTTTTATATATGCTTTTACAGAGAGAGAAGAGACATTTCTGATGACTTCAGCAAGTTGTGGCAACGCAGAGCCGGAATATGAGACTAGGGACTTGCAAGAAACCTTTTGACGTTGCTGTTGGAGAGAGTAATAAAGGAAGATGGATCGTGTGACGAAGGCTTGTGGCAGTGTGTGTGTGTGTGTGTGTGTGTGTGTGTGTGTGTCTACTCCAGCCTCTTCCAGGTGCAATTATCCCTGTCAGTCAACGTCTGTGTTTTAATGCACCCAGAATTAACTTTGGATATGTAGGCAAACATCTCCCGGGGATTTGCAGGAACACACCCCCGTTCCGTTCCCTCTTAATCAACAGGCGTCGCCGCTATCAATAATGCAGGACCCGGCCGACGGGAGCAATTGCAAAGGAGAAGGGATGCATTTTTCATTAAACGTGAGTGCGCTGCCGGCGCGCCAGGAAGATCTGGCAGCAGGGTGACTCACCGCACAGGCTCATCCACAGAATCTGTAGCGAAATTTCAAAGCAAGGTTGTTTTGTTCCGTTGGCATCACGTTTCACAGCACTGACACTAGCATGCGTTGGCCGGAAGGGTTTGCCAAAAAAGAAGTACTGCTCCCAAAGCTGATTTTGCATCTTTGGGGGGTACATATCATTGCTGCTGCAGTAATTCTCTGCGTGTTTGTTGGGGAGTTCTAGTGTGTGCTCCCAAGGGAATGGTCTGCGTTGCCTGGGAAATCAATGGATGAAATGGCAGAAGGGTTCGTTGAGCGCAAAACACACCTGCCCTCAACACTTCTCTGCCAGATTTGTGCTTCTAGGTTTGTCTCACGTGGATCAGCCCTGCGCTACAGAAGAAGAGTCGCTTTTGACTACATGAACCTCATTCCAACTCTACAATTCCATGATTTGAGGATCCCATAGACTGTGATGCGTTGGGAGCTGGAGACACAACATTGTACTGGTTCCACACCAGTTTGCAGAGTGGTTTCCAGAGACCTGTCCTGGTGGGTTGCTGCTTTGCCTTGCATGGGAACTGAGCTGTGTAGCCCCAAACGGCTCAATCTTGTCATTTCCCCCATGCGATTTAACTGTCAGCATCGCCCTTGAGCCAGTGCCACCGGCTGGGCTCAACCACTTCAGCCCCGACTGGGCCAGGCGAGCTGGGGTAGCACTTCCAGAGACCTTCTTCAGCAGGAACAGGTCTAAGTGCTGTGGACTCACAACTCAGAGCTGTGAGCACCGAACTCACTTCCAGAAGACAGCCGTGCCCAGCAGAGTATAGCAGAGCATAAATCACTTGGACGACAGCGCTGAAGAATATCTTCTTTTATTCACTAACAGCTACTGTACTATACAAACTATATACAAATGGAGACGCTGGACTGCACTGAGTGTTACAGCTGCTTTCCGCAGTGACCTTATCTACACAGAGATAACACTCAGTCTCCCCCTTTGAAGTGAGGCTGGAGCGGAATAAGTAGCAAGCACAATCCGCCCCCTCCTCTCTGGAAAATCAGCAGATTCTTGCAGTAGGAGGGGTGAAATCTCCTCATTAACATCTATCAGGGCCAGATTTAGGTTTGATGAGGCCCTAAACTACTGAAGGTAATGGGCCCTTTATATGTCCAGCTGTCCTTTGCCAACAACAAATTGTCGCTGTTTTTTGTGTTGAATATATGCTGTGTGGTAATTTACAAACCTAATAGGTATCTAAAGCCATTTGCACATAACAAAATATGTATTTTATCAAAGTAGTTGTTGAACTGAAATACAACTGGAGCGCTCGCAGGCCAGTGTTTCCCAGCAGTCGGTGTTTATACTACATTTTTTTTTAGATTTGCCTTGAGAGAGTCTTTAAACCTCTTTTGTTGACCACCGGCATTATGCTTTCCATTTTTAAGTTTGGAATAGAGTAGTTGCTTTGGAAGACGATCATCAGGCATCTGCACAACATGACCCGTCCAACGAAGTTGATGTTGAAGAATCATTGCTTCAACACTGGTGATCTTTGCTTCTTCCAGTACACTGGCATTAGTTCACCTGTCTTCCCAAGTGACGTGTAAAATTTTTCGGAGACACCGTTGATGGAATCTTTCAAGGAGTTGGCGTTTATAAGTGGTCCATGTTTCACAAGCATACAGTAAGGCTGGTAGTACAATAGCTTTGCAAACAAGCATTTTGGTTTCCCTGCTACAGCTGTTACTGCAGAGGACCTTGTCTGTGGTGAAACTCCATCTCTGGAATGAATCATAGAATAGAATCATAGAGTTGGAAGAGACCACAAGGGCCATCGAGTCCAACCCCCTGCCAAGCAGGAAACACCATCAGAGCACTCCTGACATATGGTTGTCAAGCCTCTGCTTAAAGACCTCCAAAGAAGGAGACTCCACCACACTCCTTGGCAGCAAATTCCACTGTCGAACAGCTCTTACTGTCAGGAAGTTCTTCCTAATGTTTAGGTGGAATCTTCTTTCTTGTAGTTTGGATCCATTGCTCCGTGTCCGCTTCTCTGGAGCAGCAGAAAACAACCTTTCTCTCTCCTCTATGTGACATCCTTTTATATATTTGAACATGGCTATCATATCACCCCTTAACCTCCTCTTCTCCAGGCTAAACATGCCCAGCTCCCTTAGCCGTTCCTCATAAGGCATCGTTTCCAGGCCTTGGACCATTTTGGTTGCCCTCCTCTGGACACGTTCCAGTTTGTCAGTGTCCTTCTTGAACTGTGGTGCCCAGAACTGGACACAGAACTGACACCTCTTGCACCAATGCCCTTTGCTTTTCATGGGCAGGTGAAGACACACCTCTTTGCCCAGGCCTCTGAAAGGCGGTGAGATGTGCAGCTCGGATGTGCTGAGTTTGTAATTACCTGTTTTCGCAGAGAGTGATGACTGCACTAATTACTGGTTTTCAGGCTTTCATGTGGATTCGGTTTTTGGTGTTGTTGCTACATAAAGGCTTACTGATGCAGCGATTCCTGCCCTGGGTTGGCTCGCTGAAGGATGGCTGATGAACGCCGCAAATAAATAAAGGCAAACATCTCTCTCGCAACCTCTAAATCATCTAAGATCAGATCCAGGAATGACTCTTTGGGCAGAAAGACAGAAGAATTAGCTGTCTTCAGAGTAGGCTGCCTGTTCAGGGCCTTTAAGGAGGAAGGAGAAATCTTCATCAATTCACATTTTGATGTGAACCTCCCCAATTTATGCTTCCTGGAACATGCATAACCTCTAACATTTCTTGGATGAAAATAGGGACGTCCTATTATTATTATTATTATTATTATTAGTTGTTGTTGTTGTTGTTGTTGTTGTTGTTGTTTAGTCGTCTCCAACTCTTCGTTACCCCCTGGACCAGAGCATGCCAGGCCCTCCTGTCTTCCACTGCCTCCCGCAGTTTGGTCAAACTCATGCTGGTAGCTTTGAGAACACTGTCCCACCATCTTGTCCCCTTCTCCTTCTGCCCTCCATCTTTCCCAACATCAGGGTCTTTTCCAGGGAGTCTTCTCTTCTCATGAGGTGGCCAAAGTACTGGAGCCTCAGCTTCAGGATCTGTCCTTCCAGTGAGCACTCAGGGCTGATTTCCTTCAGAATGGATAGGTTTGATCTTCTTGCAGTCCATGGGACTCTCAAGAGTCTCCTCCAGCACCATAATTCAAAAGCATCAATTCTTCGGTGATCAGCCTTCTTTATGGTCCAGCTCTCACTTCCATACATCACTGCTGGGAAAACCATGGCTTTAACTATACGGACCTTTGTTGGCAAAGTGATGTCTCTGCTTTTTAGGATGCTGTCTAGGTTTGTCAAGGGTGGTATAGACATTTAATAAATAAATAGTAACAACAACTTATTATTATTATTATTATTATTATTATTATTATTATTTCCTGATAATACTCAATTATTCAAAGTGGTTAAAACAAAAAAGTGATTGCAAAGAGCAACAAAAGATCTCTCCAAACTGAGTGAACGGGTGGTAAAATAGCAAATGTAATTTAAAGCAAACAAGTGTAAAGTGAAGCATCTTGACACAAACATCTTTAAATTTCACATGATTTTAGTTTCACATTAAAAAAAA